ATTAAAGCGATTCAAGTATAATAATAGAACGGAAAATAATCTAGCGATGGTTCTGACCATATGTCATCTGTCATAACCCAAGTTACTGTGAAAATCCTGGGTGAATTAAACATTTTCCATGTTTTAATAGTGTCCCTTACAATATATTATTCGTATGAGATAAAGTGAGTCACATAAATTAGCACTTACACTCGCCATGGTCTCTACATCCAATTTGACACTCAAAACCCAGCCAACCAAGCGAATACCAATCTGTTGGTATGCTATATAGGGCACCCAGTTTGCTGATGCCCTATTTTAATATTGTTAGAATTGAAAGATTACGTAGCTGTGAAATACTGTTTTTTGATGTCAGTACAGTACAGTACAGCACAGTTTAGTCCAGTTGTTCGCAGTATCATTTGCTGCTCATTGCGTATATGACCCATTGATTCGTTTTTCTGAATTATATGGAGACATGTAGATGTGTTATATGGCGCCCTCTATTCCTTTAGTTGCTTGTTAACTGTTGTAGCTAGCTAAAAAAATGTCAATGTAAGAGGCATGTTATAGAAATAAATTAGACCTATCACTCATTTTGTTAAACAATCATTCCTATTATACTGGAATAAATGTCACAATGTCAATTCGTTTTGATATGTGTTTTAACAATGTAGTATTAATGCCCTCCCTGCAGCCACTTAGAAGCAAGCAAGTGAATATTTTTGTTTTTTACGAGCATTTCATGTTTCTAAATATCAATCAAAATATATCCATTTATAGATCAGATTGTAATTGAAGACATTCTACTGAAATCCAGTGACATATTAGAGATTTTAGGAGTGACACTTTATCAATTTAGAATAACTTGTTCTAGCCCTCTGGTGCTCTGTGAAATGTCTTGAAAAATACTGTATACTCCATCTACCACACGTACACAAGAGTTTGTGATAAAGGAGTGGGAAATCCTTTAGTCCTCTGTCAGACATGTGGTTATCCGGATGTTGAGTCAGGGATTGTAAATTATTGTTGAAAGGTAATTATTGTAGTTGTAAACACACCTTGTGTAATATTATAAACTACAATTCTACATGCATATTGTTGATTACTTTCAATGTTGTAATGTGATAATTCAATGGATTTTGTAGAAAAACTGTTAACGACGACGATTTTGATCGTGTCTCAGCTTGTAAAATATAAGCTGTAACTACAATGCTGTCAAAGTTAACGACTGCTCAACAGCCCACGAAGGAGTGTAATTTTTCTGCTCCATCTCGAAAAAAGAACAACAAGGGAGGTTATTCTGGTGGAGTGTGACTCCCTGTCTGATGTGCTCAAGATCAGGGCAGTCTGGAACAGTTGGCATGCCACACTCTAGACCATACTCTAGAGCGTTACTCTAGTGGACCTGAACTAGCATATAGTGCACGCCGCTCCCTAAAGCCTGAAATAGAGAGGCAGCAATTTATCGACCTAAGACCTATTAATCTTAACAACACCAAAAATGAGTTTAAGATGTATAATGACGCTGCGATCATTGGTGGTATAATAACTCTTGCAACAGCTTCAATGAATAACGACATCCTAAAAATCAACTTCTTGTATGAGAAGAATAGAAATACAGGATAACAAATTTGATCCAACGACTAGGAAGAGTGTTGTACGGGGGGGGGGGGGGGTACATCCACAGAAGTGCAATACGGGTATTGCTGCCCGACTGGGGTGTCATTTTACGATTTTTGTTGTTTCGTAATGGGTCATTTATCAATGTTTTGGTTTAGAAGTGTGTAGCCATGTAGGTCATTGAAAATACTTGTGTTTAAAAGTGAGAATATAAATAAAAAAATATTTAGAAGTGAGTATGGTTTACGAGAGGTGGGCCACACACCCCTACCCACTTAAGGTGCAAGTAGCCCCCCCCCGGGGGAGTGTTCTAGGGATTAACCAAAACATGTTGCGGTCCTGGCCATTTATGCCACCAGTGACGCCTCATCCACTTGACGCCAGGCAATCAAACATAAATTAGCTATCGGACCAATATCCCATATATTGGTCGATTGGGAAGCATACAATTATGCTCACTGGATTAAAGGGGCTAGCCCACACAGTTCTAAGAGAATGCTCTGCCCAAAATCAAACAGCTAGCAGATATGCAATGCAAGATCCGCCAGTAACATAGACTATAAATCGTAGTTATTATTATTACACATCTGTAACTGAAATAACACTCGAGATATGAAATATTTCCACATCATGAAATGAGATGTCTCTGCATAAACACCACTGTATAAGCTATCCGTCTCAATCATCCGCACACTTCATGCAACTTCTGTAATGGCAATAGTCGTCACTGTGTTCACTCGTCATAACAAATACATACAATAGAATAACATGCACAGAACAGACAACAAACAATCAATGAGACACGTGACACACTAGTTTATGATGCAGCTCAACTGGAGAAGACGATTGGGGCTTTCATCTTCACTCAGGCCACGCAAAATAAACCACCGTCTGGTTTTGGTAGAAGGTCAGACAATTCAGTATAGACCAGTTCGCTTTTCAGGATGGCCAGATATATCATACAAGGAAGAAGTAGTATGTATTATAAAAGACCCGTGCATACATGAGAGATGAAATCCTGAGAGATGGAATCCTGGTACGATGGCAAAAAAGAAATATAGAAAATAAACCATGTACTTCAAGATGACACTAAAATTACTGTGTGGAGCATGCCAACAGTAGTATGTGGAATTTGCAGTTAGTACAGAAATGTCCCCCAATGTTCTCGATAGTTCTCTTGGGATTCAGGGACTTGGTGCATAGTGTTGACCTCCCATGAAAAGGTACTTTGAAATGTACAGCCTTGGTAGTTAATCTTTGGTAGAGGTAAACTCATCCATAGATACATATTTATATGTCTCCCACTAAACAGGGATTCCACTGCAAAAACCAGAACCACAATCACACCCACGTTCGATGACATCCATAAGCACAATGTTACACCCACAAGTACTCTGATCAATTTAAGCGATGTTTTCAAATACATAAAATAATTCGGACAGAGCAAACAAGACCCAGGCCCAAAAATACTGGGGTCTGTTTCTGCTGGGATTACCAAGGGTTAATCCGTTGTTGTACTCTATATGCCACTGAAGTAGTGACCACTGTACGTCCTCCTGCATCGCGGATTCATCAGACCAAGTCAGATTAATCATGGTAAAAGTATGTCGCTTCAAAGATTTGACTCCTGTCAACTATTGGGAATAAATTGCATGATCTTTATATGACCGTCCTAATTTTATTGAAGCCAATATTTTCATTATCATTATTTTACTGTTTTATTTATCTCGTGCAATGTACACGTGCTTTTTGAATGAGATTCAAATTGTGTTGCGTGATATGTCAAAGTTGCATTTTATAGGAGTTGTAAAACCAAGCAAGTACATTGTCTACCATAACAATTTACCTTTAAATACACTGCATCTCACTGAGACCTTGCCTGTGTTATTCAAGTATATTATACATAAAAACATGCAAGAACCTGCAGGGAGAACAACGTAAGCTTGAAAAACATCTGCTAGTTATTTAAAAAGACCATATACACAAGCGTGTAGATCGATTTCCGCCAATGGTGTTCCGCACTGTAAATATAAGCTTAATATTAAACTTATCGAAATAATATTAAATAATGATTTCATTTAAAAGTCATTTATCTTCTAGTCTTGTTTTGAAAAACATATTGCTATCATTACGTCAACCACGATGATAATAATTATGTCCATATGGCACAGCACAGCACACCCCGATCCTGGGAAGAAATCACAATGAAATCGAGTATGAACATTTTTGTTACAAGGTGCATAATATAACAAGACATATTTCACGTTTTTCACATGGTACAAACCGTGTCTAATAGGACCAACAGCCAATGAGAATCAATCTATCATTCTTAATATTGTCGATAACGAAAAGTCCGTCATTGACCAAACTATCAATCAGTAACACATTAAAGTTGTATACCTTCCACTGATTATTGTGATCAACATATGAAATGATAACATCAGTTGGTTTGGCAACATTAGTGAAATATTAGAGAACTGCAACCAGGCAGGTCACAGTATCCCATCACCAAATCTAGGATGAATACTCAAGACTATGTGAATATATGCAAGAGTCTTTGAAATGAATTACATGATTCTGTTGATAGATTTCCCAGAAATTTACAACACCCATAGCTTTTTTAATGCTTAATACTGGTGTCTGTTCTCTGTTAATCCGTTGTTCTACTTTATATGCCCTGCATCGCGGATTCATCAAGCCAAGTCATGGTAAAAGTATGTCGCTGCAATGAATTTTATGATGCTTGCAGGGATTAGTGAGAGGTTTTCTACAGATGACACGCAGAGCATACTGTAAAGGGGTAATTATTCACTGTCTTTTAATTTAGCTTATTTTAAATTAAAACACAGTGAATATGTAAAATTTAGCATAGAACACATTATCTAAATGACGAAACCGTGAATTTAAAACCCACTGAATATGCCTGAAATGGTAAATCAGTGATATTTAAACCCAGTGAAAATTAGTCATTTTACAGTATACAAAGTGGCAAGGTAACTTCGTAAATTCTACCCGAGTTGAATATTATCATCTTCTTCTTTATTAGGTAATGCCATTGGTATTTTGAAAATAAATTGTTTTGAGGAATAAGTGTTTAAAATGTAATCCCATTTTGAATATCGATATTGTGCACAACATACTGTAGAATGGGGAAAATTTTTGTCCTCTTTTTTTAGAGAATGTTTTATCGATCCAAACTTTAATGCATGGGCTCGAAAGCATTATTAAGTAAATGTTAACAATGGAATGTGTATCTTATTGATATGAAAACATACAACCGCGCCATCGCATTAGTTTTCAAGTTTCTCTAGAACGAGAAGCAAAACCGTATTTGACTTGGTAAAATGTATTATTTATTATTTCGCCATTTTACCATTATCTGATGGAGTTATTTGAAATCACTCACCGTCATTTTGATCATTCGTTGTGCTGGGGTCTAACGTTACTGCGATGTATGTAGGCGTGACGTCAGATGTTTTTACAGCGCTACTTGATGCGCCATAAGTTGTATAGGACGCCGTGGTTTTATTGGCCCTATATTGGGCGTCATAAGTTGTTATTTCTGTTGTTAAGAACGCCGTGGTTCGACCATCGCTACTCGTGGCATCATAGGTTGTTTCTACAGCTGTGGTAACGACATCCGTGGTTGGAATAACGTTACTTGTGATGTCATATGTTGTTTCCGCAGCTGTAGTAATGAGAGCCGTGGTTGGATTAGCGCTACTTGTGATGTCATATGTTGTTTTCGCAGCTGTTGTAACGAGAGCCGTGGTTGGATTAGCGCTACTTGTGATGTCATATGTTGTTTTCGCAGCTGTAGTAACGAGAGCCGTGGTTGGACTAGCGCTACTTGTGATGTCATGTGTTGTTTCCGCGGGTGAAGTAACGGGAACCGTGGTTGGACTTGCGAAGTCATAAGTTGTTGCTGCAGCTGTAGTAACGAGTACCATGGTTGAAATAACGTTACTTGTGACGTCATAAGTTGTTGTTGCAACTTTTGCTGTGGTTTCCTCAGTTGTTGCTTTAGTCACTGTAACGCGAGGCGTGTATGAATCAGCATTACCAACAACGGTAGATTTCACACCAATCCAGTAGACATTATGGTTCTGAGCAATGGTGGCTCTGTAACGGAAACGAAATAAATATGTAAATATAATTATATAAAGGAAACTAGAAAACGCAAATTGAGCATTAACTTTCACAGGAAAGTCTTTCCAGTGTAAGTAATATCAGTTATCTAAATACAACTATGTAAGCATGTGATGAAAAATAATCGTCTCATAAATTCAAAAGACCTAAAACAGAAAACAACTAAAAAGGTATTTAGAAGAAAAAAACATAATCAATAGCCAGTTCAGGAAGTAACATTTATTCTGAAAAACAGTGAAGACACGTTAATGTGTTGATGACTGACATGCTGGACCTCGACGAGTTATACAAACAGGCTTATACATGCAGGCGTAATTTATATTCGCGTTATACGTAACATCTGTGTAGGGAAATATAAAATAAGGTGCCCGGGCACTTCTGGCTACATGTTATATTTTGAGAATGTTTGTGATTACACAAAAAGAGGAAAAAAGGGGTGTTTCATAATATCGAATGCAACTTACACGAATTCAATATCCCCCACATCATTACTGGAAGGAGTCCATGTAAATGAAGTATTCTTTTTAAAAATACTCATCGAGTGAGTCAAACTGTCTAATGGGTTAGTGCAATTGATGCTGTGTAATCCTCTAGGTGGCGTCAGAAAGGTCCCGTAAGGAGTTGTTTGCTGGACTGGTCGTGCTTGTAGTAATATACCTTTATAAAGCTCTCCTGTAATAGTCACTGTGTGTAAATGTAATAACAATCATTAACTTAATACATATAACATATATAGCATGGAGTAATCGTACAGTTCTTCAGTTGTAACGAGTATTACAATTTTAAATTGTGTTGAAACAAATGAAAACTACTATTTCGCAGCTTTTGGAGGTTAAAACACTAAAAGAGTAATTTGTGATAAAATAATGTTATGTATCACTACTGATAAGGCAAAAACATCAGTAGACAATAAAAAAAGCAATGTTACACTACATTCATAACTCGAACTACCCTAGATGCAACTCCACTGACAACGCAATATTATGATATTCAAAGAATCAATGCGTTAACGCATTATTATGTGAGTAATGACACGACTTGCATGATATACGAGTCGGCCAAATAACATGGCAATGTGCTAACAGCATACTTCAATATATGTGTAACACATGATAATAAATGACACCAGAAGATAAAACAAAACCTTATTATATTTGCTGTGATGACTAGACATCTCGTTCAGGAGTATACTAATATTGTTATATGCCTTGATATTGAAATTTGATATATATCAGTGAAGATTAATATTGCGGAAAGCCTCAAAGAAAACTGACAGTGTTAAAAGCTGCAGCGATCAGATGCAATGTTTGCCTTCTTAGCATACACAATTCAAACTTGACGCTTGACTCGTTTGAATTCATCGTTTCGAGTCATGGCATTGTCGGTGTGGTAGACACAGCGTGCGTTATCTCTCCTGTGACTATGTGTCTATTGAGCAGGATCATCATCATTCTGCCATTGCACATGTTTGTATTAGAAGACTTTCAAATGTACAGAATTGTTTAGCCATATTTATCTAACCATGGCGAATAATACACACACGCAATTGATACATTAAATATTAACTCCTTCGTTCTTTCATGCATCTTGTTCAGCATTATATGTTGTAATGTAGGAAGCAACCATGGTGACAATATAGCTATCACTTACCAAACATGTAGACGAAGTTATGAGTACTGTAGATCTACTTGTCAAAAATATAGACAAAGCCACTCAACATTTTATCTACTTAAAGCTTCATCTACAAACTGTTGTCATGTTAATACGGTTCATCTTCGCTATGTCTACTTTTAATCTACTTGTTCATCTTCTTGTGAAAACAAGATTTTATCTATGATTTGTGTGTTTTTCATTTGGTAAAAGAATGTAGATCAAAACATAATTCACTTATATCCCCTTCTATGCATAGTGTAATTTAGTTATTATAAAACACTTCTTGTTATAATTATGTTTTTACATTCCCAGTATTCTCAAGAGACCCCTCATACATATTGCTTCATTCATTAAAGTAAAAAAAAACGAATTCTTCTATCTGAAGACAAAAAACATCTTAGCATCATATTTTGTATTTGAATATCTTTTTAAACATGAATGAGGTTAAGAACAATCGCAGACAACTCTCGATCCGACGTCTCGTAGTTTGAGAAAATGTGCACTTCCTTTAAATTAAATAATCTTGTACTTTTGTTTTTTCAACCAATTTATACTATTTTGCTGAAAATTGATTTCTTTATCTATATAACCTTTATATCAAAGATAAATAGTCAAAGTTGACATCCTTGTGTAAATTTGATGTTGATCCTATTTGCACATTCAGTAAATGTTCAATGTCCAATCAATGTTGAAATATGTTGTTTCAACAGATTGTGTCCACTGGGTATGATAGTGCAACAGTTGATGCTTAACCCACTCTGGTACAGGACCGCAATTACCTCAGACAACTGGATAAATGGCACTTGGTGAAATGCAACTATACCCCTTCATTCATTCCAAGGTCACTTTGAACACCAAGAACACACATCTTCGTGTACATTTCGTATATCCTTTGTCTACATATTATCTATTTTGTCTATTCTTCATCTACATTTCGTCAATGTTTGGTCTACATTTCATCTATTCTTCATCTACATATAATCTATATGCCTCATTGTATATGCACAACCATAAACGAAGCACTTCGTCTAATAAAAACGAAGAATTGTATCTAAACAAATCTAAGTTAGACAAGAGATTAGATATATATATGTTTGGTAAGTGATGTTTTAACACTTGTAACCATCTGTAACAAGCTTATGATTAGATTATGTGGGTATCCAGGTGTTTTATTTACTATAACTTGACATTATATATTATTGACATTCGCGTCGTATAAAAGACTATATATTTCCCCATACTATCATTATGGGTTTAATGCCACCAGCATACAGCGAAAATTAAAAACGAAATTGGGGTTATTAGGCAAGTCTTCTAGATACAAAAGTTCAACATTTGTTAAAATATAATTTTTACAATGGCTTCTGTGTTAAGATTATGTCTTTATATCTTATGATACAATTTCTAGTATTGTAAAATTGATGTGATTTATTTGAAGTCAACCACATTGTGCAAATATTATATCAAACAATGTGGTCCAATAAGAGCGCCTCTATGCTAAACGATATCTTCCTACCAGTATTATTTACCATATGTATATATTTAAATAATCGCACCAGGAATACGCTAATAATAGAGGTGTAACATTATAGTGACACTAAAAAATAGTCAAACACTGTCAAACATGCTTCGCAGATAATATAAAACGACTCAAGTGAATTCATTAATAATGGCTGAGTGTGTGAATTACGTGAGTATTAAACTGTACACACCTATCAATGGTTCATCGAAGCTGTACATCGATGACGACAAATGTATGCTGTAGGGAGCAGGAATGGTTTGTGCTGACGTACGCACATGACCTGGTATCATAGTCTCGCACGCCGAAGTCGGGGCACCGGTAGGGTATCCATGGACATTTATCAAAGGAAGCACCATTTGCAATAAACCTACAACGATTGTTGTACACATTGATGGCATTATGGAAGCAAGTCAAATATGAGAATAATCAAATAATGCGACCACTATGGTTCCTAGGGTATTCATTCTCATCTGTGTTACCAGATGAAAAGTCATTATGCAAATATGACGCCCACATTATTCATTTTAATTTATATTAGCATTTGAAATTGGTATCAATGTCCATATTTTGAGATACATGTAAAGGTGATTACAAGAGATTTTTAAGGGATTTTAAATTCCCTATGATTCAGTTTGCAAATCAATGTCAAAATTTTTTATATGACTCATTGGTTTTATATGCAAATTTAGTTGCAAGAAAACCAATATGTGGGTTGAGACCTCATTATATATTTATAAAGTATGGCGCCACTCGCGTCTAATTCCTGTTTATCTATCCTTTATCTACATGGCGTTGCTTCCTATATCCACCACTTAACATGAAACCAAACTATTTGAGTGACAGACAATGCAAGCGTCAACTACCATTCGTTGTATCCTTTCCGTATTTTAGACAAACATCACCCGAAGAGGTGGTAAAATTGAGGTTCAATTATAGATCAAGGCGGACGTGGAATATGTATAATTTATTTCAAGTGAAACAGAAATGTGTTCGGATAAAGTATTGTTCAGACAATTTCCACCAATGTGCAGGCAACCAATAAACTCAGCAAGTAAAATGAAAATTTACAGAATATGCGCAAATGATTACAACGAATCAAAATAAACTCCGAAAGAGAAAAATATATGTGACAGGTTGATAACAGTGATTTTTTGAAGTGTATACCATTTAAGGTGATGTCCAAAAATACAGCAATTAAAGCGTGAGTCAATGCGGTTGACGAATCAAACAGGATAAGAGAACGGATATTTTGTTTGTTCAATATTTTGAATTGTATGACGCCTTATAAATGTTCATTTTCAGGAAAGCATGTCGCCCTCTAGTGTTCAATGATAATACTTATTTCATAGATGGAAATGAGCGTCTTCTAGTGTTGTATTTTCGTACTTTTGAGTTATTTTGTCTATTATTCAAGCTCAAATTTTTAATTGTGTAGTCAGTATCGGGGAACCTTATTCAGGATGAAAGATTAATCTATAATACAATCAGGTATTAATATTGGTTTAGATGTATGTACAGGGTGGGATTGGAAATTGTGTTTGTATATATATAATTGGACTATTGTTCTGTGTCTATGAGTCATTGTTGTTAATAACCAATATCACCGAAATAACCAAACCAGCAGTATTGAAATAGTGATCACAATTTTGCCAACAACGGACAATTGTGTTGTTTGGAGAGTTTTCGTGTATGACGGAACTGGTTAATGAAAATTTAATATATGCAAGTACATGGCTCATTAACACATTGAAGTTCGTTGTTATTTAAGAGTTTTGTCTCCTTTATATGTCTGCTTCACCATTGTGCTGCTATACAGCACTCAACTATGCCAAAATGTAATGACTGTTTGATCAACAGAGGTGTCAACCTCACACAAGGGGATTTATTGCTGTGCAAGAAATATGAAAAAAAAATCGTTTTCCTGTATTTGACAATCTAACAACTATTGTTATCAGCTAGATAGTAGTACAGACACTAATGATTCAACACCTTGCATCATCCCACCGTTATCGCCATCTGATGTACATACATTGAAGGTGAACAGTTATGATAGAAAGATGTTACTTTCGATTGTCGATGAGGTTGCATCACTGAAAGAAACAATTAAAAAGCAGCTAATGGAGATTGGCCCACTCAAGCTGAAATTATGCAATTCACAGGAAAAGAATTTTAAAAGTATCCCACCACCGATTATCAATGATGGGTCTACTAAAAGAACTTTTATTGTTGGCGATTATATTATTAGATATGTGCAATCAGAAAGACTGGCCAATACGGATGTAATACCCATTAGTTGTGCAATGTTTCCGGACATTGGTATTGCAGTGAACAACATGCAGGATTGCGTCATGAAAGCAGATAATGTAGTTGTGCACTGTGGCACAAATGAGATTAATAATAACATGTGCATTGACACCATAGCTAACGAATGTGCGGCAATAATAGAATCAGTCAAGGCTTGTAACAAGAATGTAAATGTGTATGTGTCCGGCCCACGCCCACGATTAGATGGTAAGCAGGGAGGTATTCTCTGTTGAATGATGCTTTGAGCTAGAAAGCGGATGAAATGATGTGTACGTATATCAACAACCATAACGTAATGCGAGGTGCACGTGGTACTGATGTCACATTATTTTCCGACTCAGTACATCTTAATCGCAGTGGAACATCGAAGCTTGTTCGTAATTTGATGTCAAATGTGCCTGATATTTCAACCCGTGGTAGTGCTAGAGTATTCAATCGAAGCAACAAGCAAAATCGACCAAGTTACAACAATACGGGTCGTCGCCAATACAATTACGAGTACGAACAACGATACTCTAGTTATAATAACAGGCGGAGTTACGTTGGTCAATTCAACAGAGGGCGCAATAATGGTAATGTTCTGCCTCATCAAGAAACCAATTTATATCAACCTGGTTTCCCAGAACTGGCATGAAACCCAAATTATTGTTGCTATAGTAATGAACAAGTCAGGTGTTTTCAGTGCGGAGAAACAGGGCACATTCAAAGAACATGCAGACATACAACAAGGCTGAAATGTTGGTCATGTGGACAGGGTGGACACAAACAGAAAGACTGTCGTGGTATACGTCACTGGGAGAATTGATAGATATTCAGCAAAGAAGTGTCAGCCGACTGTAGCAGCGAACCTATTCCTGTGAGAATTTAACCAGGGCGACTTTCCACCTATAGACCAAGTGCCCCACTCTCCACATCCCGTCTAATTACTTTCAGCATTAATGATAAGTCACACTCTGAGCACTATCATGATAATAAGGTAACATTATGTATTCTTAATGCTCAGTCTGTCAGAAATAAAACTCATTCTTTTGTTGATTTTATTCAAACAGAGCACATTGATATTTTTGCAGAAACAAAAACAGAAACGTGGTTAAAACCTGATGATGTTGTGTTAATGGGTGAAATCACTTCTGAGGGGTACAAATTGAATGTTCATCATAGAACTAATCGTAGTGGTGGGGGTTTGGCTGTGCTGCACAAGAGTCTTCAAAATTAAAGGTTATTGAGTGTGGTACCAAATCGTTTTCATATAATGATTTCATAGAAGTATTTGTTTCCAATGCATCACTATAGGTTAGAATGTTAGGTCTTATTCCACTGTGCACAAAATAACATTTAGTACCTTTTTATCTGAATTCTCTTCACACATAGAATCATTTTGCTTGTGTTCTGATCATTTGTTTATTACAGGTGATTTCAATGTCCATGTTGATGATTGTAACAATACTGATGCAATATGGTTTTCTGGTTTATTAAATGATTTGGATTTAAAACAACATGTGCAGGGTGCCACACACTTGATTTGGTTATCACTAGGATTTCTTAAAATATTATGACTAGTAAGCCAACTATTGGGTCATTCATTTCGAACCATGCGGCAGTGATTTCATACATAAAGTTGAAAAAACCTTTCAATACGGCAAGAAATAAAATATAGAAAACTCAATGACATCAATATGGGAAAGTTTAGTAGGAGGGAGGTCCAAGCTGCTCATTGTTTCCACTGATAATATGGTATCCACTTATAATGAAACAGTGGATAAAATAATATTGCTCCTCTAATTACTAGAAGTGTCCAGTCGCGTGTGCGGCAGCCATGGTTCCATTCAACTATGAAGGATATGAAAATTGAAAAACGCACGTTAAAGAGAAAATGGCGACGCACAGGAGCGCAGTTGGGCTATGATAATTTCAAAGCTATGAAGTCGGACATGAAATGTTTTATGTGGAAATGTAAGCGCGAGTATTTTGCGGGTCTCATTAACGAACATGAAGGTGATCAAAAACAATTTTTCACATAATTGACAGATTATTGCAAAAAAAAGAAATACCATATCCCGATTCTTGTCCACCTTTGTAATTTCATTAACAAGATTAATGTAATAAGGATCAATTTTAGTGACACTACTGTTACTAGTAATGCCTTATTATTGAATGCTTGAAACAGATACGCAAATGACGTTCAAATCAACATGCAAATAATATGCAAATTGGTTTGCAGCGCTATGATTTTATTCCTGGGGAGAACCCTGCATTGGTAATAATGGTTTTGATGACCATTGTAGATTGATATCTCCACAACAGCTGGCTCTCTTCTTTAATCATGGTGATGAAATTGATGCATATGAAAAAGATATCATTTTTTGTAGAACTGTTCGACATATCAGCTGTGAATTCATTATCACCCCAGATGCTTCAACAAGATGTCCTGCTTGCACAACATACAGAGATTGTTTACATGCTACATGCTCTAGAAAGAAGTCCAAAGAATCAGAAAAAAACGAGACCAGAAAACAACAAAAAATGATCGAATGACCAGACAGGAACTTGAAACCATAGCTAAACATCTCCACAAAACATAAATTAGATGGGTTGAAAGACATTCTAAAACTTATTCTACAAAACGGTGAGAAATTAGATACAGATACACAAACACAGATACAGTTCTCGTTTCATTGTCTCCTGACAATCCACAATATATATTTTGGGAACAGCAAAGACAGGTTTTGTCAATACAGAAAAAATCAAAGAAGATGGCACCCATTGGTCCTAAAATGGTGCATTGCGCTTCACAAGAAATCACCTTCGGCGTACAGATTTTAACGTAATTCAAGTGTATTGGTTTTACCACATGAAAACACTCTGCGTGATTACACCCAATTCGCAACAACAGAAGATGGCATTAATGAATATGTATTACAGCGCTTCAAAGAGGACAGTAAATTCAGTCAAATGCCTGACTACAAAAAAATGTGACATTGGTCTTTGATGAGGTCAAGATAAAGAGTGGACTTGCATATAACAAGACATCGGGAAAGCTGGTAGGATTTTGTAATCTGAGTGGTGTCAATGAGGAAATTAACAGTTATGTAGAAGCATTACACTTGTCTGATCTTAATGGTGATGAATTGAACACGCTTGTGGCTACGCATATTCTAACATTCATGGTCAAAGAAATGTTTTCACCTTTAAGAGATGTTTTTGGATGATTTCCATGCTGTAGTTTCACCAGCCAACAGATGTACTGGGCTTTGTGGGTAGGTGTGGGTATTTTGGAATACTCTGGGTTCAAAGTGCGAGCAATTTGTTTCGGATAGCGCAACACCAAACCGAAAGTTTTATCGCTCACATGTGTGTGAAGAAATAACACACTGTACCTTTACATGTGAGTTTTTTAGAATATCATTCACAATATATAGCATACCACATAAAGAAATTGTGTTGGAAAACAAGTTTGTTATTACTTTTGCACGTGGGCGGTAGTGGTGGGATTATTTTCATATATTTCGTTATTCCTAATTTGTTCTCTAATCCATGAGTCAAATAGTCTTTTAATCACATGATGCATTTTTTCACAGTACCAAAACCAATCTATAACATGGCCACAACTGATACAATTGATTGAGGATAATATAGGTACTGGTAATATAACACAACTTCAAAGACGAATAACTGAACACATATACTTGAAACCATGAATAACTGAACACATATACTTGAAACCAGGTAATAGCTCAGAATAATATAATCTTATCCACTGCATAATGTAACGCATATCAGACACAAAGTTTATATCTGTGTTAATCTGCATATTCTAATTTTGGTTTTGTGCCAATCTATACATTTTGTTTTTCCTCACTCCATTGCAAGTGTTAGGTAGCAGTGTTTCAAGTGCATTCAAAGCTAATGGAAGACATGACACAAAATCTACAGAAAATTTCATTTCCTTTATTGATATATTCTTTGATTGGCTCAATCTATCCAAACTTGTACAATGCATTAGATCTCGGAAACCCGTATTTAGATCCATTGTGATATCATAGTAATAAAATAACAATTACTTAAAACCATATCTGAGTATATGTGAATACATTGTAGTTCATTTTCACTTGGTGTACACATGCACATATGTACCTTCCATGGTGTACAGCATTAGATTGTTGCCTAGTTTACAATGAAAAATATTAATATGAAGTTTTATTCTGATTTAGCTAGTGTCAGCTTACCAGTAATAACTGAATACTTGTAAATAAAACGATAGTGATGTTAATTCCAGACAGTTGCTAAGACGTCAGTGGTTTGAGAAAGATTTTATAGGATTTCTAAACAGTTGGGAAGCAGACTGCCTAGCCACATCAAATCTGAGCTTGACAGAAAAAAGGAAGATGTGTTTAAGTCGAGAGACTCTTGAGGGTGTTAGAGTAACTGGTAAGTAGCAATTGTGATATGACTATAATGTTAGCTATTTTGTCTACCAAACAAAACTGATTCTCTTGATGTTAAAACATTGAAAACAGTATTTTCACTACCAGCTCCAGCATTGTTGGGTGCAATTAAAATGATAGGTACCTATCCTAATCAAAAGATGGTTCCAAATTGCAGTTTAGTCCACATATTTCTGTTTTTGTTCCAGTTAAATCTTTTGCGAAGTTAGGAAAAGGAGCTACTAGAACTTGATGGTGTTGACTCTCTCCTTAGTGAGAAATTTAGTCTGGCCCCCTTGGAGGAGTGTTTTTCTAAACAGAGAGGATGTATAGGTAGAAATGATAACCCTACTTCAGCAGAATTTTCCTGAAATGTGTTGTCATTACATATTGCTGGGCAAGTACATTTCAGGCTAGTGCACGTGGAAATTGTAGAAATGTAAATAGAGAAGATGGAGCTCCTTCCAATGCACCAATACCACGACGAAAAAGAAACAATAGCAAGATGTAGGACAGAACATACTGGTCAAGGTTGGTGCATCCAACTTGTTTTTGCTCAGTGTCATCCATCCATAATTTTCTTATTATACTAGTAATTTTACTTTCAACATTCATAGTGTTTTTCATAGTCATTCGTTGCTTTTCCACAATGTAAATGGGGCGAGGGAACATTGTAATCAAATTTGACATTTACTTATGTTCCAAGATATTTATTTCTTTAATTTCATGTGTACATGACAAGTTGTCAGGATCACCACCATTGATGAAAAGGTTGAATACACATTCTCTGAAAACAAATGCAAAAATTACAACAGTATTTATTTTGTTTGACCTATTTTTTTTAGTTGTTTTCTCAAACCTTTTTCACCTTTCCTAGAAACTGTGATATCACGTTTTTTCTCAAGAAACATATAAATAGTGGCATAGGAACGACATCTAATGTCTACATAGCACTCCAAAACTTTAAGAAATAAAGAACCAGCCAATGTTTAATCTAATTCCTGAGAAAGAATGTGCACTAATCACTGATGCCAATTTCCGCAGAGCAATTAAAATTGTCACTTTCTGACTTGCATCTCTGTGTTTTGATGCATTGCCCACATTAAGATAAGACCTTGTAACATGTTCCACCCATCCAAAAAATAAATACACATTGTTATTCACTTGAAATAACCCACTCCTGTTGACTGAATTCATTCCCCCTTGGATAATTCAAAAACGATGTGCTTGAATCACTCCATTCATTGTTAATTCTCCATGTATTTACATAAGCTAGACATGGTTGGGCAGATTTGTTATTTATAAATCTGCTGTAAAACCCAATCAATTTATGGGGTACATAACCAGCAATGTTATTCATCTTGACTCAGACAATCATCAATCTTTTGTTGTAAATCTGTGCAATTCACTCCACTACACAAAGCCTGATGTAAAAGTTTAACAAGTTCAACTGCGACAAATTGAATGAGGAATGTTTTGGCCATATCAGATATAATCAAGTTAGAACTTTATAGAAACTTCTCAAAAATGGCCTAAAACGTATTATCTGAACGCAATAAATGAAAACTTGTACAAATAAATTCAAGTGACTGTGGACTGATATTTTTAACATTAAGGCCTAGTAGCCACAGTCTGTCAATTAAAGAATTAGCAAGTTACTCAGTGTTTTGAGGAGACATTTTTTCTGTCAGTACTGGCTTAATTTCCTCTTCTGCTTTTCTGTTCAGTTTTAATTTTCGGCTACATCTAATATTATCTGCTGCAGTGCAAACCAGCTTTACACTCTCACGTTTACCATCTAATAGTGTGAATGATGAATGAAAATTAGAAATTAGCTGCTGATATATAAAGTTGAATAAATTCAGTAGGTGATATATCAGTCTACATCTTCCAAATAAAATAAAATTAATTTGTCACCATTGTCATTGGATTGCATGAAAATGATGGTCGTTAATTTGATATAATATTAGTACTTAATTATGGCAACAGTAGAAACTAGCATGATATCTTAGCATAAAACATGAAAGGTACCAACTAAATAAAAATCAATAAATGTATTTTTACTTTTAAGTTTCTACACATTTCGTTTGGAGGTATTAGTTTTATCACCAATAATTTGTTGTTTTCCATGATTTTGTTCTACTGCTGCATTTCCTGGTAAGTCTCTTCCTGTAACAATAAAAACAAAATAGCAATTCGTAATAGTTCTTGTAAAGTGGACGACCAAATAATAAACGAAATCAATACAGAAATGCTGATAATGTGTTTTGGAAAGTGTATTCGCCGTGTATCCTAGGAAAGTTTACGTGCCCCTGCTCTGTGGCAACAAATATCCACTACGATTAATACAATGGGCTTCGCATGTTCTTAAAGCTTTAATTTTAACATTTGGGCGCAAAGTACACTACAGTAATTCAAAATACGGCCAGACATGTTTACAATACCGGTCATGTTAGGAGACCAATGCCTTAATAAAAAAAACATACCTGAACATCGTGGACAATTCCAGTTCTCTTTGGGAACAGTATCGGGCGTCAAACCCATGCACTGACAATGGTACCATTGAATAATTTCAGTCTTACACATGCGCAGTTTTTCTATCACTTCCGAACATGCTCCGAATATTACCGAATGCTCGCGATTAGCGTAATCCCATGTAAGGAGGTGCTAATAGCTAACAGGAAGCAATGTTTGTGATCAAACATTGACATGTTTGTGAACAAACATAGACAAACGATCATAGGGTAAAGCTAATACAATAGCGTCGTGGCTCCTTCCGTTAGTACCTTCCATGGTGCATGCTAGTTGATAAGGCGGTTTCCGATTAAGGTAACCAAGATAGCATCGCAGATCTCTTGATTTTCTTGCAGTGTTTAAAAACATCTCGTTGCTGATTTTTCTGTAATTTTCAGTATTTATAATCAACCGAGCATGTGTATTTTGATTATCGATGACAGCAACAGCAGTGGTGTTTATCTATTGCACGGGAATGCTATCAGCACGGCGATCGTTATAGCGAAACGAAAAGTGTTTACTTCAGGTAAAAATTAAATTTGTTTAGTTTCGTCCACAATGCGAAAAAGCTTGAAATCTATGCAAGAGAAATTGTGGACTTGTTTTACTCGAATATTAAATCGCGCTATCGGGCCTTCCTCATCCATGATGAAAATAAATGAAAAATCAAATTATTTAACAGTATACCACTGGAAGCTGCCAGGCTAGAATTTGTCGACATGTTGCCAGATAAAGGTGAAAAGGTTTACTTATTATTTACAGCTTTATGCTTTTTTTTATGCCGATTGCATACTGGAAACGTCTACGTCTTGTCTGTTTTGTAGTTTTCGAGGCTAGTTGATAGCGCTTGAGGTAAGTAAACAGGACCCAGGACAGGAAGCCACAAACCGCCGCACCGTAACTGAGACCAGTATCTCATTTGCATATAACATCAACAGTGTCTAGTCAGTCAAAGAACAACGTAGACAAACTTTTGGGACATTTAATCACATAGACATAAGCTACAAATACATGTTCCACTTATATGCAATCTCACATTGCTTTGTAACAGCATGCAATGGCGTTTGAATGACAAGTACTGAGGAGACAATTCATCTTATTATTTGATCTGTATATAAATTGAGTGCACGTGCCACATAATATTTGTATAGCAAATTATAACTTGTTTATTTAGGGCAGTGATTTAACAGATGTTCGTAAATTTTAACTGCAATTTCGTTCTTATTGTAAGCATATTACGTTCAGTATCTTTAATAAGACATAATAACCTCGCTCAGCAATCGATTATTTTATTGTGCTGTCCTTTCACGACTACCGAAAACTTGCACGATTCTGTGGTACGTCGTAAACTGGCGTGAAGTGTACGTAAACCCGTCATGACTGCGAGTCATATCGGGACGAGAATTTTGAAATGTTTAAAATGTTGGTCACGACAAAATTCAGCGACCGGGTCGTGAACTATGAGCAAACTGTTCGTGAACTCGTCGGGACGATGGTGTCAGTGCGTGACAGTGCGCGCCATGCCACGACTGTCACGAACTGCCACGAATTGTTCAGGAGCAGTTCACGACTACTACCCGACAGTGGTGCTCGCGTTGGTGCAGGGGTATATATAGGGCACCCTAGTCACTGCTCGCCATTCAAGAGATCGCAAGCGAAGAGACAACTTATATCACAGAAACAACATGCCTAAAACAAAGCCAATCGAAAAATGACAATGCTGCCTTATGTGGGTATTCCAAGCATTGGTTAAATGAGAGTGTAAAATATGCTATACATTGGTTGATATGGACATCGCGATTGTTGCTAGGACACGTCTGCCACAATGCTCGGACGCATGTTGATTCTAACAATCTGGTGCTATATCTGTATCTTCAATTATGTACTTCTAATAACGTAATGGCATAAAGTGAAGTATTCATTTCCAAATACAATGACATAGTGAATGCCGCTGTCTAACCCACTGACTGCATACAAATACATGTGTTACCTAATCGTCAAGGAAGAAGTGTGATACAGCTGTCACAATCATTAGGTTACGAAGCTAGACTGATGAACGTTGTTGTTTTCCGAGGTCATAGTTTTAGGGGAGAAGGCACCAACAGCTAGTGAGCGGCTTTTAATGGCCTGGAATTGCTTTGATTGTCTTTGCCTGGTGGACGTTGTTGTTGTTGTTGTTGTTGACTGATGGAGGTTGTTGTTTTAGATTTTAATCAATAAATATTGACGATTTAAATTCGATGCCATGTGGCGATTTGAAAATTTAAAAACGGAGGATATTGGAAATTTTTGCATTGATTACTTTATTCAGTGTTTTTCTGATTTCACACGCGAACAAATGTTATCCTGTCCCGGTTTTCAAAATATTTGTAGTTGTTTATAACTTAATAACTACCTAAAGGATTATTATTTTTAGAAATTAATATATTTCGCTAATTCTGGACAGCCGTTTTATACAGACATTGAACATAACACCACACGGAGGGGTTCATGCTTTGACAATTCAATGCGTGTCATTGAAATTTCTTTTAGTTCCTAATGCACGCAATTTGATTATTGAGTACACATTACATAGCCAGAAGTATCACATCATTATACTGAACTCTTTAAGTCTGGTATATTACACATCAGAAACCCATATGACTCGTTGATCTCGTGCCACATCGTCAGACTTAGTGGATTCATGGGAAACCCATCCCCTGAAATTTTCAGAAACACTATTATAAATTAAGTCATGATTGTTCTTTTGTTGTTGGTTGGTCGATTATGGAATATTATTTTTTATAGAAACATGACTAAATACATAACAACTTTTAGAAGTGTTTTACTGGACGGACGTTTGTTGATCACGACACGTAGACCAGTGTCGCAACCGGGGACATGTTTTAATGAAGTGTTTACTATCACAACTAGACACACATTTTGAAAAGTTTTTTCATCAGACATATGTATTGAAAAACTGTTCATTGCAACACTTTGAAAAGTGCTTTCACGCAAAACACAATATGAATATTGACAAGTGCCTGTAACAAAGACTCATTATAAAATGTATTTCCGCTGATAATATGGTGAGAAAATCATTATTATTATCATTTTGGATGGTTTCAATGCGCAAAATATATCAAATAATTCGTTTATGATCAAGTGCTTTGCACTATCGTACAGTAATCATAACGTACAATAAGCAAATCTTATATAATCGTGTCCTTGACTTACGTGCAGCTGAATAAGTGTGTTTACTGAAATTTAAACCTTTCGTGGAACTGTAGATACAATACACAATAATTGTGAACATTGACATATAAAAACAGATGAGTAATGAACTGATAACAAAACAAAACAATAACATCTTTAAACCTTTTCATCATTGACATGAATGAAAATGCCCAATGACTTTCTATGTGGTATTATTAATGATTAGACCACCGGGAATTAATACCTGTCTAGCGCAGCGTCATCCAGCTTACTAACTCGAACATTGAAAACATCACCGTGCATGTTTAATTCCATCGGTTATTAAACTTGTGACAAGTACATGGTATGCACACTCGCAAAATATATGAATACATAACGCTGTTTAGTATTGAAAACACTAAAATCAATAAAATTATCGCTACATGCACAGTATGACGTGTGTGGGGGATTTTTTTCCCAATAAATATGCTGCATACATTCGATAATAAACATTGTGTCGATTATATATGCATACCGTTGACAGTATACAATAATGGCCTGTCAGGTGTTATAGGTTGAAACATTGCATGTGTATTTGTTTTGAGGGGTGCTTCAAAAGAAATGTTTGGAAGAAAAGTGTCACTCATATGAGCTCGCGTAAATTTCGTTTACATAAACTCTTATGAAACATACACAGTCGGATACTTTACCTTGCATATGAGTTTGTTTTCTGAAGTGCTTCAAAAACAGCTTTGAAAAAAAGTGTTTGTCACTCTCATGAACACAAATGTGCACTTTGCGAAACACTTATAGTCTGGTGTTCAGGGTTGAAACATCGTTGTCGATTTTGCTTTATGAAGTGTTTCAATTGAACAGTTTACAAAACGAGAAAAATGTTTAAATCACATGATTTCTAAATTTAGTGTGGTATGAGTTGACATAATTCTGACTATTTTTGAAAGGAAATTATTACCAACGTATGGGTCAGAAACATGGAGATTTGACAAAACAAAGAATGTGGGAATTAAATTGCACAAGTTTGTATATATAACTTTAAAATCCAATACAATGCTATAAACCTTGTTTAAGGGTCAATCGTGTTTAAAATACTTTAGGCGTGAGAAAGTGGTTGGGCTTAGATACAAAATTATGCTTCACAGTGAACTCTGACAGAGCATCTCTGATATAATTAAGTATGGCAAACAATGTCGCTGAGTTGTAATTTTGGAAGAAAATGCACGTGTCCGGTGTTACTACTGAACAATCTGTGATGCCTAGGAAAAACCTAGTTGTCCCAGAATAGAGGCACGTTACCACTAATACCACACTAGGCAGTAAATATACGGCATTATGCTATACTAAGCACAATCAATATTAACACAACGCAGTAGGACAGGAACAGCTCAAGGGATCCATATGAGCAGCATCAGACTTACTCGGATTAGTGTTATTCCTATTACCTTGACGATTACTACATCACTTGACGTGATTATTGTGTTTTTATGTTGTAATATTTATTTTCTATGTTTGCATGTAAAATCATAATTAATACTATTTTTTATGAAAATTCGCGCTATTTATTTTTATGCTCAGTGGTTCGACACGCATGTATCCAACTTTATCTGCTACAGATGGAATGTATGTTGTGTCACATTGTGTTTATGACTTCATTGGAACAGCATGCCTATGTGAAATCAGAAGTTTTTTGCCAACGAAATATTACTCTATGACAAGCGTTTGTATTTCAAACTACACACTATAGATTATTAGAAGAAAATAATTTCCGATGGCGACTTTTCGTTTTCTTTACTTTCACAGAAATTAAAATTGCCTACTTATGTATACAAAGACGCATTTGTTACTGTAGATGATCTTTGCAATAATGCTGTATCTTAGTCGACAGTTCCACGTGTCTGGACCTAAGAAAATTGAGATGCATTCAATAAACAAAGATGCGACACTGAGAGAGACATGCACATAAGTTAGACCATCGAATATACACTAAAAAGCATTGTAATATAGGGACATTTCACACGCAACAAATTCAAAATTGTATGAAATTGCATTCATGACTTTGATTCTAGAAAAACGTCTTTCCGAAAACTGTTCCATCAATTATGGTAACTGGTCAAAATTGTCAAGACCATTGGTTGGCTTGTTGAGCTTCCCGAGGTATGGAAATACGTGGACTCGACATTTGTTGGAACTTGCAACAGGGACTTACACTGGATCTCTTGGCAATGCTGGTGGTCTATTTCACAAAGGTAATTGTATGTGAGCTAATGAATAATATATATCAGTAACGGTCAGTCTCAAAACATATTATTTAAAAATACATGCACGTTGTTTAGCACCTTGGCGAACCACATCGGTTTTATGGTTTCATTGTTTCATGGCAAAAATATATATAATCAGGCACCACCATTCTCTCCATAGGATAGTTGTCCATGTGTACAACAAGTACAATGCCCTGATGAAAATATGAACAATCACTATTGCAAACAGAAGAAACAATGCTTCAAAGCCTTCCCCCAAATTGTAAATTACTTGCAATTATAACTGCCCTATATGGCAATGGTGAAGAATTCTCCCCAAATTACTAACTTCATAGCAGCCGGTTAGAGATCTTTCCAGTTAATTTGTTCTTATGTGGATAAAACTTCGATCTCACCTTGACCACAGACGAAGAAACACATAATTGGTAATTAAAATGAAAACGTTTTTAAGCTGCCAAGTGTATCTAAGTAAACATATTCTGTCATAGTTAAATGCATTGACGGAAAACCTATATTTAGATGAATACAATGTGTTGCATTTGTAATCCACAGACATGCTGCCTTATATAGGTATCCCCAGAATGAAGAGCACATGTACTAAAAATGTACTCCTGATAGTGTCAAATATGTTATAAATGCTGAAATGGATGGCTTATATGAACATTGCGATTGTTGCTGGAACACGTCCACCCTAACAATTGTACACATGTTGATTCTGTCTATCTAGTGCCACATCTGTATCTTCAACTATTTACTTCTAATATCCTGTTTGCATAAAGTGAAGTAGTCATTTCCGCATACAATGATAATACGAATGCCGCTGTCTCGCACACTGACTGATTGTCTGACTTCATACAAATACATGTGTTACCTAATAATCAAGGAAGAAGTGAGATACAGCTGTCACAATCATTGGGTTACGAAGCTAGGACAACGTTGTTTCTAGAATTTATTAATAAACACATCTCGCTTAGATGTGTGATTCGCATTATTTCCTCATGCCTTATTTCAATCTATGAACTTTATGCTCAAATCTTCTTGAAGTTGTTTGTCCTCGGCCACAGTCTTATGAAGAAGGGACCATTTTCTTAGTATAACAGCCAGCGAACGGCTATTAATGTCTTGGAAATGCTTTGATACGGCTGAAAAATTGTCTTATAATAATATCAATGAAAATAATAAAATAAATCGATTTGATTAGTAATTAGTTTTTTTTTCGTCGTTCATTTTGTGATGCTATCTTTAATTCTCTAATTTTGATGAATATTATTGTAATTTTTGGCAAAAAGTGATATTTTCGACTTCTTGTTAAAAACCACAAGTCGGATTGCTTAGATATTACATATGTAAGTATTACATGTGGACCTCACTCAGATTTGTTCATTTTGTGATGATATCTTTAATTCTCTAATTTTGATGAATGTTTTTTTCTCTTTTGGTAAAAAGTGATATATTCGACTTCTTGTTAAAAACCGAAAGTCCAATTGTTTTGATATTACATATATCTAGGCACTACATGTGGACCTCTCTCAGATTTTTCATTTCGTGATGATATCTTCAATTCTCTAATTTTCATGAATATTTTTGTAATTTTTGGTAAAAAGTGATATTTTCGACTTCTTAAAAACCGCAAGTCTAATTGCTTTGATATTATATATACTACATAGGCATACAGGTAGACCTCTCTCAGATTTGTTCATTTCATGATGATTTTGTTCTTCATTTATCTAATTTTAATGAATATTTTTGATAAAAAATTATAAAAAGTCTGATTGCTTTAATACTATACGTATTGTCCATTTTCGAATGATATCTTCTTTTCTTCAATTGCAATCTGCATTGATAACAGCGGAGCTATCTCAACCGACAGGCTGCTAGTTTGTTTAACTTTGAGAAGTGCGAATACTTCTGTAGCAAATATATCTAATTGAACTCAGAACTCAGAAAAATGGGTTATGTCAGTCAATGAACTCGTTCTGTTGATATTTTCGCATTTGAGAAAAACCCGGATTTGTACCCACGTATGTATTGATAAATATTAATGATTTAAACATACGTCATAATGTCAGTGTATTTTAACAAAACAAACACAAAAAAGCGTAGATATATTGGGTTTATAATGATAGTAATGTCGTCAATAGTTTTTAATTCCATAGTATGTTCACAGTATGAGTTTGTAAGCGTTGACCAAAAACTTAGTATTGGTTAGTAAATATATAAAACAAACATGGATATATAATACAATTTAAATTCAATAAATCAAATTGATAATTTAAAAACAGAAGATATTGGCGATTTATTGCATTGATTACATTTCTCAGTGTTTTTTCTGATTCCGCACACGAACATATATTCTGCTGTATGTTTCCTGAAACTTTTTAATTGTTAATAACCTACTGAAGCATTATTATCTTTAGAAATTAATATATTCCGCCACTTGTAGACAGCTGTCTTGTACAAACACTAAACATAACACCACGGGGAGGACTTTATGTTTTGAACAATTCAATGTGCATCATTAAAATTTTTTTTCGTTCCTAATGCACGTAATTTTATTATTGAGCACAACTATATTATATAGCCAGAAGATGATTTTGAAAATTCAAATTGATTATGCGAGATTTAGAATTCATCGTTCAATTATTAAAGTGAACCATTGGTATGGTGGGTAAATTAAATAACACGTGTTATGTTTAGTGCATTTTGTTATGACAAAGCTTATGTAAATGCTGAATAAACACAATATCTGGTTTAAACGCATGTCACATGAGTTTGCCAATTCTGATACTAAAGCTGGGAGAAAGTCTTGCAGTCAAGTTGTCTACAATTATAGTCAGAACAATAACAATGTTTATAAGAAATTTTCTCATATAAAGGAAAATAAAAAGACAATAATCCAAGATAATAATGATCTGCATGCTGTGTTCTCATACAGGGTTGAAAGCGGAATTCGATGATCCACAGTTGGGACGTGCTTTGGTATACAAATCTCATCATTATACTGAACTCTTTAAGTCTGGTATATTACTCATCAAAAACCCACATGACTCGTTGATCTCGTGGCACATTTTCAAACTTAGCGGATTCATGGGAAATCCATCCCTTGAAGTGTTCAGAAATAGTAAGTAATATACATTATATCAGGATATTTAATTTTTAAAGAAGTAAGAGATGATAGATATTCAGATTTAGTAGTTAGAATGCCATTGGGTATTCAAATGATAGTTGCACTGTTGAGTTCAATGACTTATTATTTTATGGTATTTATTAAAGGCACAGTTTGGATCGATTTTGTAAAACTTAACTACGTAAAATGGTCGAAGCTGATTGCGACTTCTTTGGAATCAGGAATGCCGATTATAATAGTACGTTATGAAGATTTAGTGCACAATTCCTTGCGTCAACTGGACAGGATGTTACAATTTATGAACATGACATTAAAGCCCGAACGTGTTGAGTGCATAAACACGGACTTAGAGGGCGTGTTTCACCGGCGACATCCCGATAAATTTCATTTTGATCCATATCCTTAAGAGTTCCATGATATTATTGATGAAGATATACGAAAAATAAACAACATGTTGAAAAAAAGAAAAGAAGACCCTGTGCCAATGCCAAAGTATGATGACGAACTGTGACAATTAACAATAAACTATAAATCGAGTTGACAGTCATTTCGTTTGCTATGGGTGATGAGAAATACAGGTTTATGAGGATAAATTAGTGAAAAAAAAGACAATTAAGGTATTGATTTGTAGGCAGGTTTGTAGGCATTCGGAGCTCTAAAAATTGTTTTTGAATTTTGTATATGCGGGCGATTCCAATTGTCATGAAAAGTTGAACCTTTTTTCGAATAATCTACATAATTTGCGATTGAAAGATGGAATATATATACCATTGTCAAGAAGGAGCGCATCTGTTTACAGTAGTGAGGGACAGTTGCCGAGTTGAGAGTTTTACTCCCGTATTTCACTTTCATATGTTCGTATATATGCCTGTTATTTCGATGCATGCCATGAAATAGTAATCCGTCTGTTTATTGTAACCACTTTATTATTATACCTATACAAGTTGTAATGGGAGAATTTTTATGCAAATCTTCCCAACTTAACTTTCACATTTAGCCACGGAAGTTCAAACATATAGTTGATATTTTGTTTATCTACAAAGCAACATCTTGTATTGTTGATAGTCGGTTTAATGCTTTTGGTACAGCAGCATTTGTGTCAAACAAGGTGTTCTCCGCGTAATTGAACCAACTCCAGTTCTCACCACTGTTGACATCATTGTTTAGGAATAAGGCAAAACTGTTAGCTTAGTGTTTTTTGTTAATTAAAATCGCTTTTTAACATATTCTACATGACGCAGAGCTCTGAAACATTGTACAATACTGTCTAAATGTAACAAAAGCGAGCACATAATTTTAGAGCTATGAGCACAAATTAACCTGCATTTCTATCTCAAAGGAAAATAATTGTATTTCCCTCAAATAAAATGTATCAAACAATGCACTAGTTTTTTAGGCTGTATTAATTATTATATAATGGATGTGAGTTGTGTGGGTGGTTGGGTTGGTTGCTTTGGTGTTGTGGTGGATGGTTTCGTTGGTAGCGCAAAATGTCAAGTTCCGCTTTGCCTTAAGTCAGCAATAAGCTGATTATCGAATTGCAATACGTCAGCATATGTTCATGAACTGTACATGGAAATATGTCACGTCATATGTGTATGAGGTATTGTTCTTCAATAAATAAGTCACGTCATTAGTGAAAACAACGCCTTCATTGTGTAAATGTTTGATATATTTGCTTATTCAATGGGAACGATGCCATTTTATGTTTGTTTACGTTTCGAGAATTTTATCGGAGACGATTAATTTTATGTTATTATTCATTTTCATGAACGAATGTCGCCCTCGTGTGTTCAACGATAATACTTATCTCATAGATGGAAATTAGCGTCCTCTAGTGATGTAATTCCGAACTTTTGAGTTATTTTGTTTATCATTCAAGCTATTATTGTGTAGTGGGGATTAGAGAATCGTATTCTGGCTGTAAGATTTATCTATAATATAATAAGGTATTACTATATGTAAGCTGGAATTGAAAATTGTATTTGTTTTTATAATATAAAGGCATTTTCCCAAATGACCCTGAGGTCAAATGGTTAACGTTGTCCTTATAAATCGTTGACCATATTTTCTGAACGGTTTAAGAATAACATGTTTGTTACATTGAGTTTAACATTGCTACGGTGGACCAATCGTTTAGATTTTGGAAGAATACAGATGTCATAAGAAACAGTAATATTCGGAAGGATGAAAAGATAAAATTGACTTTGTATTTAAATGGCTTTCATACCACACATTCATGCAGGATTTTATTTTGATGGTTGACCTGTTTTTGTAGCTGTGTACTATATATAATCAACCACCCATTGCTGACACTGTGTAGTTACAAACACAAGTGAAACACAAGTAAATTATGGATGTGAACCGTGCTTGTCAAACCAACTGGGGACAGTAACAGCTTAACGACAATTCGTAAAGATGTGCATGGCGAAACACAGCGAAACGTGGTTTGCTTAACGTCGCTGTGTAATGGAAATAAACATTACGGTAAGTGAGTAGATTATGCATAGATTATATATTAAACGTCCGGGTTACAATATAATATAAAACGGCCAATATCATATATAAGCTATCGGAAAAAGAACCAGTGTTTGACATGGGGTATTCATCCTTCATTGACCGAATGTAACCGCTTATAGCTTGACAAGTGTCGTCAAGTGAGGACATAGAAAAAACTTTGTTTAGACGCTGAAAATTGGGAGAGAGGCCAGAGAGGAAAACATGAAAACTACGAAAACGTGAAAACTCAACGCATTATTTACGCTCTTACATGTAGTATTAGATTTTGAGTCAAAAAAGTACACGAAATGAAAGCATGCGTTAGAGACAGAACCTACAGAATTTGATTTGCCAGTACTTAATCTATTTTTAACACCTTGACATTGGTTGTTTACCCTATTGATTCAGCTCTTGAGCTGACTGGTATCATACTTACAAAACGTTTCATAATTTTCAGTTTCAGGATTAACAAATTGTCATAAGCAGACATTTTCGAATTTATATATGTATCAGCCTAACCAAACAAAGATTCATCGCATTGGTTAGCCATCTTGAGGAGTTAAATGTAAAAACTCGCATGATAACTGTATTCTCTTTCTTTTCGCTATTAATTTTATTCGCTTTGAGCATCTCTATATTTGTAATTGTGAGCACTACCACGAGTTTAGTAATGTCGATTATACACTGTAAAACTCTAGGGAAATTATTCATATGAGTATACGACATGTATAAGAGCAAGAGTAACTCACAAGAGTAACTAAAACACACTTTACAAGAAATTTATTTTTTTATTTTTGAATCACTTCAGAAAATTCATGATATGAATTATAAAGTGTCCATGTACAAGACACTTCAGTATGCAGTCTACGGTACGCATCTATATAGCCACAATGCTTATTATCGACAGCATGCAACATATATTTATTGGAAAAAATGTCCACACATGTCACCATCGTCGAGATACGGCGCATATAGTGATATTGTCTTTAAACAGCGATGCAAACTGTTGACAGTTTATTTATTTTACAAGCAATAATGGAACGTTATTTATTACTTTTTGGGAGAATGTATAGCGTATATACGGATTATGAGAAAGATTTTAATCGCTTTGACCACTATCTATTGTTTTATAAATTAGCCAAAATTGGTATCAGGGGTAAAGCTTTTAATGTTATTAAATCAATGTACCAGAATCCCCAAATCATGTGCTCGTGCTTCCAGTGATTCGCCAAATTATTTCAATGTCTTTGTAGGCTTCAGCAATGCTCAATTATTTCACTGTTGTATATGAAAGAATTACGTGAAAGTTTCGTAAAGAAATATTCGGGTTTTCATATTTGTGTTTTGAGGTTGTTCCACCTACTATTTGCCGATTGTCTGGCTTGTTTAGCAGCAGTGTTGTAGGTTTACATCACATTTTAAACATAATGGAAAATTACCGCAATAAATTTAAATTGTCAGTCAACAAATAATTAAACGAAAGTTATGATTTTCAGGAAAGGGGAAGGATTGGTTAGGTTTTATAAAGAAGAAAGTTTACAAGTTACGTCTCACTACAATTTAGCTCCATTCACTGCATAATTTCAACTGCACCATACAAACAACAATAAACCATGTTACACTAGTAATTTATAATCAATATTATTATCTCATTGTTTTTTGGCGAAGCCTGGATAAATTAAGGAGTTGGTTGTGAATTGACATTCCTTAAATTATTCAATTAAAAATTAAACTATTAAACTAAGACCGAGCGACATAGAATTCTAATGTTGGAATGAACAAATCAACAGGCGATCAAAAATAGTCCAATATAAAAGAATACAATTAATTTATTACATAGAAACGGAAGATACGTTCAACTTGCTGGAACTGAAAGACATTATTCATTTTGTGTAAGTAACTCAGTGAGAACGAATGCCATTTTTGTCTCGTTTATCCCACTTTTAATGAAAGAATAAATGTAGTGTTATTAACCTTCACTTCGGAGGTACCAAGTTCGGGGAATTCTCCACCTTTCTATTGAACAAAAACACACATAGAATCGAATCGTGTCACATTTGGTCTCAGCCGCATTGTTACTCTCCCACGGCCATATCAAGAATCTCTCGAGACTACGTCAAGACGTGTGTCCTCGCCGTGAGCTTGCCACAACTAACTGAGATCGGTTTTATTCACATTCCAACTGTTAACCAATTACAGAGAAGTTAAAAGACTCTAAGGCGTAGCTTTCACACATATAGCCAATCACGCAAAGTACTCAACACGCCATAATGTTAGATTAATTGCCCCCCGATGCCGGACATAACTCTCATACTTATCGG